CATATTATTATATTTTATGGTAAATATAATATTTGTGTCAGGGAATAATATTTACATAATTTTGGACATTTTAAAATCCATTGCACCCTACAATCGGTCAATTGGACTATTGTATTGTGTAGGGTGCTCATTTAGCATATCGTTGCTTATCTTTAATTTATTGAATTTAAAACATTTGTTTGTGTTTTATTGTTATTCTTGTTGGAAATTAAAATCTATTGATTTTTATGCCCTAAATTCGGTCGTTTGGACTTTTGTATTGTGTAAGGTGCATATTAGCATATCGTTGCTTATTTTTAATTTGTTGAATTAAAATATTTATTTGAGTTTTATTGTGCACATAGTTGCAAATCATTTAATTTTTAATATTTATTGCGAATTTTAAAAGTGCCCTACAATCGTTCGGACGTTCGGAACTTTGTATTATGTAGGGTGTTCATTGTGCATATAGTTGCATATTATTAAATTTTGAGGATTTTTAATATTTATTAGATCTTTATTGTGATTGATAATCTTAAAACGCTACATTCGGTAGCTTCTTTGTTTGATTATACGCTACAATTGGTAGTTATTTTGTTGATTGTCAACTATAATTGATAGTTTATTTTTGTTTTTTGTGGATTTTCTCCAAAGTTATTGGTCAATTTTTGTGTATTTTCACAATTGAATTTAAAACTTAAAGCAATTCCCTTGAGATTTAGTGATATCTAGATATATTTTATTCGAATTTATATTATCTAATTAGCTTTTTGGTTTAAGAGTCGTCAATTTTTAACAAATTTGTTAATTTTGAAATATTTTTTGAATTATTATTTAACTTTTTGAGAGTTTTTACCGTTTTCGTATAGATTTTTGATTTGATTTATACATTTCTTTTGTATAATATTCTCGCTGTCTTGAACTTAAAATTATTTTATATATTTGGTTAAATTTATAAAATGGCGTCCACTTCGTTGAATTTATTCAATCGTGCTTCCAACTCTATGGTGAGATTCGCTGCACACTTCGGTGCATTGAAGGAAGACGAATTAGATATTTATGATCTTGAAGTTAGGAGTGAAGAAATCAAAAAATTGTGGAAATCGGTTGAGGAAAATTTTAATTATTGTCTCTCCCACATAGAAAATCCCGAAGATCTTGATATGCTATATAGTAAATATGAGGTTTCGTTTAAAGAATATATGCGTTGTTCTTCGGTTATAACAAGAATGTTATCTAAGTTAAGGAGTTTGAATAAATTGCCTCTTAACTCTTCTCATAGGAGTTTGGTAGAATCGTTAACGGAAAATCCCGACAAAATTTCTTCGGAAAACCTTTCGGTAGATGCCACCGTTAAAAACGTGAGCTCTTCGTCCCACACTTCTTGTGATGTGGGAACACAGGCATCTAGCTCCACAATATTGAATATTGATAAAACTAGAATAGGCCAAAGCTTTGTCGTAGATCCTCCAAAAACAGATAACCTTCATAATCTTGCGATTCCTCCCTGCAGTATCGAAATTTTCAGTGGAAATATTATTGATTGGCCCACTTTCAGAGATTTATTTAGTGCGGTTTATATTTATAACTCCCGATTGACAGACATTGAGCGTCTATGTCATCTGGTGAGTAAAACTAGTGGTGAGGCTCGAGAGATCGTCTCGAATTTTCCTCTAACTCATCGGAGTTTTGAACCTGCGTGGAATGCCTTGAATTCCAGTTATAATAATCCACGTTTGATTGTACATAGCCATTTAAAGACTTTGTTCGGTCTTCCTGTGCTGGATTAGGAAAGTAGTTCAGGACTTAAGTCACTTCAACGCGGAATTAATAGTTGTCTTTCCGCAATGGCAATCTATGACATACCTACGGATAATTGGGATCCGATTGTGGTATTCATTTGTTTACAAAAATTGCCTAAATTGACACATGCTTTATGGGAGCAAAGTGTTAAATCCAAATCGTCTCTTTCATCTTGGAAAGACTTAGATGCATTCTTGACAGAGAGAATTCGTACTCTTCTGTGTTTGCATGAAATGAGAAATGTTAACACTGTGTCAAAATCGAAGAAAAGAAAAAGTTCCTTTTCATCTCCATGTGCAACTTCTACTCCTCGTTCGTCCTCTGATTCTTGTTGCGTTCTTTGTGCAGAGCAACATACACTATATTATTGCTATCGGTTTTTAAATTGTACACATGCCGATAGATTTAAATTAGTAAAAAAGCATCGTTTGTGTGTAAATTGTCTTCGTAGGGGACACGAAGTCAAAAATTGTAATAGTCGTACTTGTCGAAAGTGCAATCAGAGACATCATACTCTATTGCACAGAGATAGCTCTATAGTGAGCACTCCGAGTCAGATGGTGACTCCTATAAATTCTAATTTATCGTCTTCGGCACCACCTTTTCGATCACGCAATTTAAATCTTAATAATAATCGTTCGCCTTGTTCCACTGTGATTAATCCACCCGCATCGGTCGGCACTGCTATCCGACAGACCTTTCACACCACGCAGAACAAAGCAGTTCTATTGGGGACAGCCATGGTCAATATTGTTAAACATGGTGCTTGTTATCCTGCTCGAGCGCTCATAGATCCGGCTTCTGAGTCGTCTTTAATTTCCGAACGACTTCAGAAGAAATTGAACCTACCGGTCAAATCCACAATTTCGACAATTCGCGGAGTAAATTGTACTGTCGCTACTACATGTCGAAAAATGTGCTCGTTGAAACTTGGCAGTCGTTCTAATAGGTCACACAGTTTGGAAACGTCAGCACTGGTTGTAGATTCGAGATCGGGAAATCTTCCAACATCTTCGGTTACTTCGGACCTTAAATCGGATTTGTCAAATATAGTTTTGGCAGATCCTGACTTCCTCGAATCTCGTCCAGTAGATATTTTGATAGGAGCAGACTTGTATCCACAAATCGTAAAAAGTCAAAATTTTCGACTTTCATCTGGTTCGCTGCTCGCTCAAAATACAAAATTCGGCTGGATAATTACTGGTCCTATAAAATAATTGTTTCGTAAATCGTACGAAATCGTTGTATGGCGGCCCTCGACAAACATCACACAACTTGGCTCACATATCGCGGGGTCCCTAATGGCCCTTTCGTTTCGCGGGGTCCCTAATGGCTCATTCGTTTCGCGGGGTCCTTCATGGCTCTATCGTTTCGCGGGGTCCCTAATGGCCCTTTCGTACCACAGGTCCTTTCTGGCCTCACACAACCGCGGGGTCCCTAATGGCCCATTCGAACAACAGGTCATTGATGATCTGTATAATCGCGGGGTCCCTAATGGCCCGATCGTTAGCATGTAAGCATGTTTTTTGAAAAAATTAAAAAAAAAGAATGATGAAAAAATATTTGGAAAAATGTAAAAGGTTTTGCTCACCATGCACTATGCCGTAATTTATAATTTATTATATTTATTAAAACATATGGATGTTTCAAGGGAGGCGGCAAATGTTTAAGCGAGAATGCTATTTAAAATGGTTAAATAGTTAGCCTTTAATTTGAAAGGCCGCAGCCGTTGTCTGTCTACTCCTTTTTATTACACCCTTGTAATAGTATGAGGCTGACAGATTTCAACGGACTTTTGTTTACATTTTGAGTTTGCGCCACCTTTAGGCATCTATATGTCAACAAACATTGTTATTATTAGTACTTGTTTAACTCTCGTTGTTAACTGACTGGCTACACATATCGTTGTGAACACCTTGGCTTAAATTGTATGCTACGCACATATAGTTGTGCTAATAAGGTAATATCGTTACCAACCAATAAATATCGGCATTGGTCGAAACCTCTTACTAAAACATATCGTGTTTTATTTCTATTTACATATTTTATTTTGGCTCCGGAGTACTATCGTGTACTGGATCTATTAGGAGAACCTCTCATTGCACTGTACCTGCCAACCACCCAAGTCCCTATAGTGCGGACTTAACAGATTTCTTATAGAAAAAAAAATATTTTTTTTTCTATAGGAAAAAATATGATTTTTCATCCCTATATCAATAAATTAGGTTTTTAGAACGTATTTTTTCTATAGAAATAATATAACTTGTTTTCTATTCCAAAAAAAATTTAATTTGTTTCTATTCCTTTAAAAAAAATAAAATTTGTTTTCTATCGAAAACAATATTTTTCCCTATTGAAAAAAATTTTATTTTTCTCTATAGAAAAAAATTGATTTCTGGAAAAAACATTTTTTATATAAGAAAAGAATATAATATTTTTCTATAGGAACAAAATGGGTTGTTTTATATAGGAACAAAAGTTTTAATTTTGTAGGAAAAAATTTGATTTCTTGCAATAAAAAAAAGATTTGATATTTTGTTTTTGGGGAAAATATTTGATTTTTTATGTATTTCAAATCTTTCCTATAAAAAATATGCTATTTTATTCATCAGAAAAATATGATTTTTAGTACAACAAAAGATTGAGGATTTTCTATAGAAAAATAGTTTGTCTGCTTACCTAGAATCGCCTATTTTTAATAAAACACATTTGATTTGATTTTGTTTTATATAACGTCTTTTTACTTATACTTTAATACATTTAAAAAAAATACAAAAATTGTACATAAATTTGTTTGTATACAAAAAAAAAAAAAAAAATAATATTAACAAAAAATATACATACAATATAAAAATAGCTTACAAATTACATACAAACAAAAAAAGTAAAGATTTGATGAGTAGTAGAAGTAAAATAGCACTTGGTGTGTGTGTGTGTGTAATTCGGGGGGGCGGAGGCAGGATTGGTTAGAAGAGATTAAGTACAAAATATTACAAAAAAAGTAGAGTCCCAAATGGAGATTAGCTTGGACGATGTACTGTACACTTTTGCAAAGATGTCACAGTCATGTCATTCAGTGTAAATCAGTACATTTTGAGCCTCTTTTGAGGTTAGACTGAGGGACAAGGGAAGGTTAAAATTTGAGCCATTGTTATTATTTGAAAAACATTTTCATTTACAGTTTTTGAGTGTGTGTGTGAGTAGATTCAAATTCAATTCTAGTTGAGCTTCCTTTGCAGCTGCTCAAAGGTATCTTGAATGGGTGCCAGGGCCACAATAACAATTAAAGCTATGACAAAGAGTAGCAGAACCACAATATAAACAGCCAAGAGACCTTTGCGGAAACCAGCAAACTGTAAAGAGAGGAACATCATTATAATTTGTAAAGCGAAAAAAAAATCGAAAATTAAAAAAAAACTTACCGGAGCATCCATTTTACGTTCATTTTTCATATTGTTATTGCGCATACCATGATGATGATGTCCCATATTGCCCATTTGGAAATCATTGACCCGTTTCGTTTGTCTCTTGTCCGAGGAACAACCGGAAATCTGTATACATAAGAAAATCTAAAATTAATGCCATAGTATCGTCAAGTTCTTCCCTGCGAGACACAAAGGAAGGGGAATTAGTAGCTAATGATTTTGTATGTAGAGTTTTTATTTACGCCTTGGTGGTATTCTCTCAATATTGGATTGGGGTTTTTTTTTAAATATTTACAAGGGTAATAATATTTGAAAAAAAATAACAGGTTAAATATCCTCACGTGTTATAGACATGGTGACGGGGCTTTTGGTATTAGGAACTAACAACAGGTTCAGTTTTTTACAAATGTTTTTAAATTATTTCGTGGTTATTCCGTGTACTCATGAGTTAGATCTAAGGGACGTAGAAGGGTCTTTGTTTTCGAAACGTGCAACTAACTAGTTAAAGGAGCTCTGCTCCAAAATATTTTTATTTGGAACATTTTTTGTGTTAATATTATCAAAAATTATAAAATATAATCATGCACACATTTCAAATATATATATATATATATATATATATATTATATACATTTATATTGAACATTATACAAGTGTTTAATAGGTTATGTTTTGGTGGCAGCAAATTAGAATGCCACAGAGATCTAATCGAAATATGAGAAGGATCATAAAATCACCTACAATGGTGTGGGACCTTCAGATGGGGGTCATGCTGAAACGAATTTAACGACTTAACACTATCTTAAAAGCAGCAAGGAAAGTTCAAAAGTCGGACGGGGTCGACTATATGATAACCTTCACCACTTTGGGTACATACAAAAGATGATAATGTGTACAATATCCTGTTGATAGAAGAGACATAACATCTTTGAATGACCATTGACATGGAATCGGGTGAAAAAAAGTGATCTACATAGATATTTGAACCAAAAAAGATCATACACATACCATTCTGAAATCTATTAAAAAATTGTAACATTTGTATGAAATCCGGTAAAATTGTATATGGCCTATATATGTAAATCTGAACCGATTTCAACAAAACTTCACACCTGTCAAAATGGACTGAATTCAGTACGCTGAGCAAAATGTTGTCTAAATCGTACCAATATTGGGAGTTTGATGCACCATTTACATAAAATCGGACATGGGTGTTATATCTAAATCTGGGCCGATTTCAACAAAACTTCACAGATGTCAAACTGAACTAAATTGCGTCCCAATCAGGCAAATATTTTCAGTTTGGTGCACCATTTACCTAAAATCGAACGAAACTATATATGGGAGCTATATCTAAATCTGAATCGATTTTCTCCGATTTCAAGAGGGTTCGTCCTTGGGCCAAATAATTGACATGTGCCAAATTTCATCCAAATCGGATCATAAATGCGAACTGTACTTTGATCACAAAAATACATTGACGGAATGACGGACATGCATAAATCGACTCAGAAAGTGATTCTATGCATATTTTCAAAAGAACCATGGGTCTATCTCGATTCCTTTTGCCTTTTACAAACATATTCACGAAGACATACTCTGTACCACAGTAGTGTGAAGGGTATAAAAAGTATGTGATTTCAACAGACGGACGTGCTTATCATTCTGTAGTGTATATTACTCCCCGCAATCTCACCCAAACATACCACATGTGGCAATCGACAGAAGGGTCTACAATCCGAAACGACCCGAGTCTTACTCGGCCATCGTCTATCACCTCAGCCCATTATGTAAAAGCAATAGGGCTGCAGCCCTAGGGCTGTTGCCGCATATAAAGTGTCATCCATTGTGCTGTGTGAACGACTGAAGCCAATGGTCAATGGCATTATTGGACCATACCAATGCGGCTTCAGACCTGATAAATCCACCATTGACCAGATTTTCACTCTGCGCCAAATCCTGGAAAAGATCCATGAAAAACACACCGACACATTCCACTTATTCGTTGACTATAAACCCACATTCAACAACCTATCCGTTCAGAGGTGTTTAATGTCATGTCTGCGTTCGGCATTCCTGCAAAATTAATACGGCTATGCAGGATAACTTTAACTGGTACAATGTCAGCAGTTAAAGTCGGAAAGGACATCTCGCAGTCCTTCAATACCGAACGAGGATTCAGACAAGTTGATAGTTTGTCGTGTGACCTCTTTAACCTCCTGTTGGTCATATGAGATGCAAATGTAAATAGAAATGACACTCTGTAACCAAACAGCATATGTTACTTGCCTACGCCGACAATATCGACATAATGGGACGAACATTGCGAGCCACCTTTAAACGAATTGAGAAGGAGTCTGCCAAAGTGAGACAGGCATTAAATGGCAAGAAGACCAAGCTGATGGTGTCAATGCGCATGTCATCCAGTAGACTCGGACCAACTGGGGAACTTGATAACTACAGCTTCGAGGAGGTGAACGATTTTATATACCTCGGTACGGCGAAAAACAAAACAAATAACATCAACTTTGAAATCCGGAGAGCAGTAAGCAGTTTATAAACAAGGCCACCTCTCGTCAGAGCAAACTCACACTGTACAAGATGCTTACCGTGCTTACCCGTGCTGTTGTATGGATCTGAAGCATGTGTACTTGGGCAAGCAGATGAGACAGCTCTTGGAGTGTTTGGGAGAAAAATTCTCCGGAAGATCTATGGGCCGATCTGCGTCAATGGTGAATATCGCCATCGAATGAACCATGAGCTATACCATCTACTCTCAGACATCGATATATTCAGACGTTGGCTAGGTCATCTTGTGAGAATGGATGAAGATGTCCCAGCTCAAAAGGCATATACAAGCGAGTCAAGTGATGGTTCACGCAGAAGGGGAAGGAACGTATCCGATCGAATGATCAAGTAGAAGACAACATCTCGGAAAATGGTATTTAAAATTGGTTGAGATGCGCACAAGTCCGACAAGCCTGGAAATCTTTTTTTAAGCTCGGCTTATGGAACAACCGTTCTGTCCTAAGCCAGCTTAGTAAATTAAGTTAGATTCTAAATAATTATTCCAGCGAGGATATGAAAGTATCCTCATCAAGAGACCATAAAAAGTACTCAAATATATATTCGGGAGAATTATATAGTATGATCATTTTATGTTTTGAAACAGCAATGTGCGAGTAATATATCTAAAAGTATATTTGGAATGGACCTATTTGTCAAGAAAAGAAGAACAAGAAAGAAAGTCCGCAAATTTTACCAACGAGTAAAACGTCAAAACGCAGGCACATCCTCTTGTAGAGATGAAGAAGAAAACCTGGTGATAGATACAGATAGCGTGCTGAGAATCTGGAAGGAACACTTTGCAAAGCTTCTGGAATCAAATAGTGGGGTTGGAGAAGATACCTCAGAACCAAAAAGAAATGACGGTTATTGTGTATATCACCTATCTATGAATAAGTAAATCAATTTTCGACTTATCGATTAATCGACTTTTTGTATTGAAAAGTCTAAAAGATGTTGTTGATCGCATCAATTATAAATTTGTTTAGAAATTCCCAATATCCGGCAATGTTAAACGTTTATACAATTGATGAAAAATAGTTCCCAAACTTTAGGGAATATTTTCCACCTGCCGGTTATATTGATAATGTAATGTAAACCCCAACAACCTGTCTTACACAATACTTACGGAAAAGATTAAATGCATGATAACATGGAATGCCACATAGGCAACCAAAATCCAATCCATCCATTCAGGCAGCTCAGCCTTGGCTAATTTAACCGAGAAGAATATGGTGACAACTGAAAGAAGAAGGAAAAATTATTAAATTTTTTTTATAGGAACAAGATTCCAATTCATTTCCACTTACTGGCTAGCAAATGAGCCAAATTACCACCCAACCAATGGGCCCAATTGAAGAAGGGACGATTTTTGGAATTTGGTGCCGGTCTAAACAAAGCACCAATGGGTTGAATGAAGCACAGAATTGTTGTGACCAAACCGAGTATGGCATGGGGATTACGTTCACCGGACCAGCCGCCAATCTCCACGAAAATAATGACAAATGCGGCCATTGTCAATGACCAGGTGGTTACCATGCAGATGCGATGCCACTGTAAAGGAAATAATATTTGAATTTTAATATGTTTATAATTACTATGTTGCAGAACTGCAAGAATTTCCTAACTTTTACTATTTTTCGATATCAAAAAGGTATTGTTATGGTAATAAAAATTTGTACATTCTTGTAAGTTCTGGAACAGTCCTAATATATATGCAGCCTTATTAAGTCTACTTACAGCAAACCACTGATCCTTGCCGCACATTTGACTGCCCACCCAGGTCTGTTTGAAGTAACGTGCAAAAATAATACCCAATGAGGTTGTGCCAATCCAGGCAGCAATCATAAAACTACCATGCAGTCTTAAAAGTAATTTCGAGGCACCACCCAAATCGGCCAGTTCAGCCAAATTAATGGCCTTGTCGGAGGGAATGCGACCGATGTCATGATAGCCAACACCATTTTCTGGAAACGTCAATAAAAAATCAAAACAAATTCGTAACAAAATATAAATCTTCAATTACATTACCTTTCAATCCTGTACCGGCAGCCAATAACAAATAGTATTTGCTGTTTATTAAATCGAAAACTCTGTTGCCAACCTGGGTAACAGGATCTCTTTCCACCTTGCAATAGATGACACCATTTACCACAGAACTTTCAACCAAACGGGCAGTGTTTTGAGGCTGGAAGGAAATAAAAATGGATTTATTATGAAATTAAAAAAAATATTTTAACTCAATACTTACCACTCCTTGGCGACTGACACCATAACCCTTGGGTGGTGCCGATGTAAGGGAACTAAACATTGACACCTTGCCATTTTGTGGTATACATTCAATGACCAAATCATCACCCATTTTATTATCATCCGACAAGCCCAGGGCAACGTAGGCAGCATCCTCTGTAAAAATAATGAAAATAATAACTTCCGACCACAAAATTTAACATTTCACAAACACCTACTTGCTTTCGATTTCATTTCGAATTCATAGATATTTCCACGAACTTTAATGGCGGAAACGAAATCACACGATTTACTGTCCACACAGCCATCTTTGTTGCCAAAACAATTCTTGCTGGTGCCACAGCCATCATAGAAGGGATCATCTGGTGTGGCGGCCGCAGGTGGTGGCACATATTCGGGTACATAGGGTTGACGTGTAGTGGGTGCATAACTTGGTCTTGGTGTTGTCGGTCCGGCTGGAGCAAGATCTCGCTTTACAACACGCACCGGAGCTGAGGGGATGCCAACCCAGAAGGTGTCATAGCTCTGAGCCACTGTGGAACTGGAAGGGATGAAGGAATAGGAAAATATTATAGAAATTGAAATAAGACACTAAGCGACAATGCAGAAGGGTGTTACATATAGTTGGAAGAGTCAAAAGATGATTTATATAAGTGTATTTTCTTCAAGCAAGGATAGTGAAAGAATCTACATCGAGAGACCTTAATAAGTACTCAAGCGAGGGTGTTAATTGTCAATGTCATTACATATTTGTCAAATAAATGCTCATAAAGTTGGTTAACCCTGCAAAAAGTTTTAATGTACATGCCGTTTAAAAGTCGAAGTCGATTTTTGATCGACTTTCGATTTTCTTCATATATTCTTTGTTTATTATCACAAAGCCCAAATTTCCAGAACTTTGTTTTATCTGTAGCAAACAATTTATATAAAAAAAATTTAAATTAGATTCTATTTTTAGTCGGAAAAGTCGATTTGACAAAATCGAAAATTCAAGAAGTAGAATTTTTAGTAAAAGGCAAATATCTAAAAGTCTAAAAATCGACTTTTGGTTCGGGGGAAATAATCGAAAAGTCTAAAAGTCGGAGTTTGCGCTCGACTACGTATCCCTAAATGCCGTCTTGCTTTCTCCCGATCAAACAACGAGAAATCAAATTGATCATGTTGCTATAGGCGGAAGTCATTCATCCAGTATTTTAGACGTTCGGTCGATCCAAAAATATTAAAAAATATATATGTATGTATTAAAAAAATAGTCGAAAATCGATTTTGAACATTCGATTTTGTGCTCGACTACGTATCCCTACACCTAGCCAAATGAGGTCAGAATAGCAATTAATCGGCTGAAGAATAATAAAGCAGCAGGTGGCGATGGCTATTCAGATGCTGATGCACCATCTGATTAGTACAATTTGGCTAGAGGCATGTAAGTTTAATGATTGGAAACTCAGCATCCGGAGCCCATGCACAAAAAAGATGACAAGACGATATGTGACAACTATAGAGGAATTAGTCTCCTTCCCATCGCATATAAAGTGCTATCCAGCGTGCTGTGTGAACGACTGAAGCCAATGGTCAATGACATTATTGGACCCTACCAATGCGGCTAGCAAATCCACCATAGACCAGATGCTTACAAATCCTGGAAAAGACCCACAAAAAACATATCGACACATTCCACATATTCGTTGCCCTATCTGTTCAGAGGTGTTTAATGTCATATTTGCGTTCGGCATTCTTGCCTAATTAATACGGCTATGCAGGATAACTTTAACATGCTCAAGGAGATGAGGCAGATCTTGGAGTGTTTGAGAGAAACATTTTCAGGATGAACTATGGCCCGATCTGCGTCGATGGTGAATATCGTCGTCGAATGAACCTTGATCTATACCATATATTCTCGGACATCGACATAATCAGACGGACGAGGATTTCCCCACCTAAAAAGCATATAAAAGCGAGCCAAGTGATGTTGCACGTAGAAGGGGAAGGCCACCAAACCGATGGAAAGATCAAGTAGAAGACAACATCTCGGAACAAGGTCTTTCAAATTGGATGAGATGCGCACAAGACGGACGCACTTGGAAATATTTTTTAAGCTCGGCTTATGGAACAAGCATACTGTCACAAGCCAGCTAAGTAAATAAGATATTGACCAACATGAAACCTGCAGTTACAAGCTGCTAAAACAAAAAGCTCAAAATGGAACCCTTGTAGAGTCCTGTTTAGCTGAACACTTCCAAGAAGTTCATTTTTGCTTTTCCCTTTAAGGGTTTGGAAATCAATTCCCACATCATTTTACTTACTTGAACATAATTTCACCCTCAAAATCCACCGGCGATTGCCATTCTAAGCTTATTTCCGTTTTAGGTGCTGTACTGGTGTGTGTTACGGAATTACCCACGGAATTATCACAGTTCATTAATTTCGATAGACCATCTTCGGGAAGATTAAATTGGCCAATCTATAATAACAAAACAGAGACAATTTTAAATTTAAAACAAAAAATAAAAAAGAAAATCTTTTAAATACTCACCACTTGATTTGGTGGACTGGTGCTGCGTGCCTGTATCATAAAACCACCAAATTTCAAATCATTTGGCACTCCGACAATATCAACGCGCAGCGTTTGCCCTTGACCTATGGTCGATGCTGAGGTTTCTATCCGAAATGGTGGTTTAGTGGTGGCCGGTGCCAGACCACCGGCATGAAACGGCAACATTGTATCGCATACCGTTTCGGGAGCGCCTTGTGGCAATGTGGAGATATGTGGCATCGATGTCATTAAATGCAACGCGATAAAAATATAGGCAGCAGTTTTTGTTGTTGTGGTTATTCTAGACATTTTGTGCTTTGTTGTAGTACTATTTTTGTGATGGCGAGTCATGTTGCGGGGATTTTCTTTTGTTTGTATTTAATTTGTCATGGATTTACTTGTGGTTCTGGTGTGGTGAATATATGAAGTTTTTTGTTTTAAGCTGAAATTGAGAAGAAAAAATGGATTTATTAATTTGTTTTGAAAAACTAGGGCAACTACTATATATAGTTCTGGCCTAATACTGAAAATGCAAATATTTATCATCAAAAAGGTTTTATGGTGTTTTTAAGGGTTTTCGATTAGGATTTATATCGACTTTCATGCGCTCAAACAAATTGTCGAAGTACTTTTGCCACGCCCAATGTGAGACCTTTTAAACATGATTTTTGAACGTCAGAACGGCGTCTTGCGGGGAAAAAAGAAGGATGCCATCAGGGCTGTTATTTTGGTCGGTCGAAAGAAAGCGAACAAGAGAGCCAATTAGAGACGGCGGTATAGATTGTATACCACCTAGCCAAGATGAGATCAGAATAGAAATTAATCGGCTGAAGAATAATAAAGCATATACCAATGGATTACCAGCCGAGGCCGGTGGTCAGATGCTGATCAAGAGCATGCACCAACTGACTACTACAATTTGGCTAGAGGAATGCATGTCCAATGATTGGAACTTCAGCATTCTGCATTCCGTGCACAAAAAAAGGAAAAAAACGATTTGTGCCAACTATAGTGGAATTAGTCTCCTTCCCATTGCATATTAAGTGACATCCAGCAGGCTGCGTGAACGACTGATATCGTATCAATGCGGCTTCAGACCTGGCAAATCCACTATAGTCTAAATTTTCCCACTGCACCAAATCCTGGAGAAGATCCACGGAAGCCGCATTCGACAGCCCCTCTGGGTGGTGTTAAAAGTCATATCTGCGTGCGGCATTCCTGCGAAATTAATACGGCTATGCAGGATAACTTTAACTGGCACCAGGTCAGCAGTTAAAGTCGGAAAGGATCTCTAGGAGCCCTTCAATACCGAACGAGGACAAGGTGACAGTTTGTCGTTTGATCTTTTTAAAATCATGCTAGAAAAGTCATACGAGAAGCAAATGTGAACAGAAATGGCACTCTGTGCACCACCAAACAGCATATGTTACTCACCTCCGCTGACGTCATCGACATAATGGGCCGAACATTGCAAGCGGTAACAGCCACTTTTGAACAAATTGAGAAGAAGTCTGCACAACTACCACGGAACTCAAACTTTCTGCAGATGTTTATTCTGAGCCTGGGCAACATTTCGTGATATTTGCACGATCTTGCGCGATTAGACTTAAACAGCACCTCTCCCTTACACTGACATATTTTCCGAATATTACGAGTATTCAGTACAGCTATTGTCCAGATCCCCTTCACCGTGGGTTTTGTTGTGATGTTCGGCTTTCATTTTTGTGTGTTATTTTCGACTCGAAAATAACACAAAACCAGTGAGCTTCCGTATAATCAGTATAATCGGACGGGGCCAACCAACTTCCACGAAAATCTAACTTTCTATATTCTGACTTTCTGGGATACTATGTTCGGTCCAGTTCATCCCAAATTTATTATCTGATCATCACCGAAAATTATAGGCGTTGTCCATGACCATACATGGATCCTCATGGAAAATATCAAAGCGATCAGAGCTATATTTCCGCCCTCTAGTGTGGTAATAGGTTACAAATTAATATCTGAATACGTAAGCACCTGCAAATATTTAAGTGTAACTCCCACATCCGCGTACCTATGACAATGTAATTGGTATCTATTTAAAGGTCAACCACTCCTCTTGGATATACAATCAACGTCGGGTCTATGTCCTTCGGGAGTAAATATATTCGCCATATAATACAAATTTTGTACTTTTTCACACAAAAGTCAGGGTCTATTTGACCCGCTAAATATTGGTCGATCTTTATCAAAACAGGCATGCTCATTCTTTGGCCCTATCCCCTACTCCATGTAAATGTTGTTCGGGCCATAATTGCGGCCTCTGGAGCGACCAGAAAAACCGACAAAAATTTAGTATTTGGTCAATTTCATCCTCTAAATATTAACCGATCTTTACTAAAAACAATAGGAGTTTTCATTGGGCAGAACCCATCCTACATGCAAAATTTCGTGAAGATTGGTCCATAACTGTGGCCTGTATCGTGTTTACAAATTATAATGGACAGACGGACGGACGGACACACATGTCTAGATCGACTCAGTTAGTTGAGATATGAAGATCGGTATACTTAAAGGTGGGTCTAGGACCAATATTTCGCGGCGTTACAAACTTTTACAAAGCTATAATACCCTGGCAACATAGTTGTGTAGGGTATAATAACATCAGCTTTGAAATCCGGGAAAGAATAGTGTCGTCCAACGGATGTTACTATGGTCTGAGTAAGCAGTTTAGAAATAAGGCCAACTCACACCAGACCAAACTCACACTCTACAAGACGATAACACTAACCGTGTTGTTATATCGATCTGAAACATGGGTACTTGCGCAAGCAGATGAGGCAGTTCTTGGAGTGTTTGAGAGAAAAATTATCCGGAAGATCTATGGACCGATCTGGACCATCGACGGTGAATTACGATGTCGAATGAACCATCTACATTGACATAGTCAGCTATGGAATTCGTAGAAGAATAATGTTGGCAACAGATAAGCAATTCAAAAACAAGGTCACCTCACGCCAGACCAAATTCACACTCTATAAGGCCAGATACTACTCGTGCTGTTGTATAAATCGGAAGCATGGGTACTTGCTCAAGAATCGAATTAACCATGAGCTGTACCATCATATATTCTCGAATATCGACATAGTCAGACGTATCGGGCTGCAGCGACTTCCTTGACTAGATCATGTTGTGAAAATAGATGAGAATGTCCCATCAACGAGCCAACTGATGGTTCACGCAGAAGGGGAAGGCCACGGATTCGTTGGAAAGATAAAGTGGTAGACAACATCTCGGAACATGGTCTTTCAAAATGGATGAGTAACACACAAGACCGACGAGCCTGGAAATCTTTTTTGAGCTCGAATTATGGAACAAACGTTCTGTCACAAGCCAGCTAAGTAAGTAATATATTATTGATGAGCATAAAATTCGATTTAGCCAAGTCCTACTGCCAAATCGATTTAGCTAAGTCCGTAAGTTAAAGTCACGATAGAGATCTGAAATTTTCCACAGACATTTCTATTATGTTTGGTATTGCAAATGGGCTATATTGTGTTAGTGTAGGCCCCATATTACGGTTCTCATCGGGTGAAAAGTAGTTTTGGGCAATCTCGATCAGTTCAGTAATCGAACGATCTATATAATTTTTTAAAAGCTCGTTCACCTCGTTCAGTTGCTTATATCGTGCAAATGGTTACTCAGTTCAATTGGCATGACAGTGTATTCCAATTAAGTTTTGGCAGTTCACAATCATTCGAAGGACTTTCCTATATATTTTCTCCACTTTGTTAATGGTTGGTAGTCGGTGACATAACTCCGTTATATTCGGGCGAACACTTGTTTGCATTGCAGTTATTGCTCCGGACACCTTTGCCTCTTTTCCGTGGTTTCCAGCTCCACGGTTTTCTATGGGGGTGCTTTGCTTTTAAATGCCGCTTCATATTATTTACTGACGCTCCAGCTAAACACCCTGAGTGTTTGAAGTTTATTATTTATGAAATTGAAGAGAAAATTGCGCCAAATGGTGTTTATCCGGTGAACGCCCGTGTATCCTTTTAGATATTATGGTCAATAAAATATGATATTGTGGTCTAAGGGAATGCCGAAAGGCTTTTTTTCCACAGATTTTTTAATTTAATAATCCTGGAAGCCCAGATTGATTTTAGGTATTTGGAGAGTATAACAAATTTAACCCCGTCGAACTTAACGTAATTTGCATTTGTTTTAAAACTCTTAAAATTGCAAATCGATTAATTTTATATCCGCTTTTTAAAAAATATAATTGAAGTAGTTCATTTTTCAAAATTCCGTTCAACAACCTGGCACTTTAGCCAAAAATGCAGACAGATTTTTTTGATAGCCAATATAATTTGGAGTACTTTAACACTTCCTCTTTTGAAAAATTTGCTTCAATAGTTATGACCTTTTTTGGAGGAGAATTAATACAACAACAAATAATCCACACCTGTTCAAATATAACCATTATTTATTGCATTATTTATTTTGTTAATTCATTTAATTGTGTTGTTTAACAAAAACCCATTTGAAAATCAATTTTAATAAAATTTTTAATTTTTGTGAAAGGTTAAAGCCCTGAAAAGTGAGAGTTAATATGGCATATTCGAATCTATCATAATATGAAAAAAAAAAAATGAACAACGCTTTTGATCTTAACCTTGATCGGAGTTTTAGAGCAGTATTTTTTTTATTTTTAAAACATTCATATGTATATTCGTATGTTTTTGTGTTTTTACATTTATAATTTATTAGGTTCTCCCCCCACATGTGGATGGAGATCAACAATTAAATGGCTCAGCATGTTTCCCATATGGATATTTGGTTCGGCTTGGTTGACTGGCTGATTGTCTGGTCCGCATTTGAGACACCACTGAAATGCAGTGGTGAATGAATGACCAGACCATGATTCATCTCTGTGTGTGTAACCGGTTTATGTGTAGTCATTTCATTTTGCAGGCAAGTCCAGTGATCTGAATTCTTTGATTTCCATTGAATTCTTTATGATAGAAAACAAAAAACAATACCACAACAAGTCATGACCATAACTGAGACCATGAGAAAGATACAGGAACTAATGACGCACGGATTCTTTGTAAGTCTGTCACATTCCCATTTCTCAGCTGCAAAGTGAAGTGGATGAATGAATTAATGTTGGGGTTTTCCCCTTAGCAAATATTGTGATTTTTTTTGTCTTCAAATTTCTTGGGTTTTTCCTGGCATTTTGAAGCTCTCTTTTTATCATGACGTATGTATATCAGTCACCATCTATA